AAAAAAAAAAAAAAAAAAAAAAAAAAAGGCTGTTAATTACTGACACTCATTTTTATGTGTTTTTTTTTTATATATAACAGTAAGTTGTTTTTTCTTTTTTTTTCTTTTCCTGATCTGTTTGAATCCCCTCACTGACGGCAATTCAGAGCACAAAGCCTTGGACTTTTATGCGTACAGAAGCGGGGCCGGCTGCCCGGGGGGGGATGGAGGGGTCAGCGCTCGACAAGGCTGCAGAGCGCCAGAACAAGCTGGATGATGGAGCGTCTCCGGGGCGGAGAGCGATCCAGCAGCCGCCCGCCGTGGAGGGGTTTCACAGCACAGCGACACTCCATCTCTCCGTGCTCCCCCTGCCCCATCGACTTCTGGCGCTCTGATCGAACAAGAGCCTCTCAGACTCAGCCTGCCAGTTCCGTAACGCACCATTGCCTCGGTCAATTTGATCTGAAAATCTCATTTTTTCCTCTTCTTCATCTCTAAAATAAGAGTGCCACATCACAATGCAAATTCAGCCTCATTTGAATAAAGCAAAGGAAACACTTTGTGTTGAGAGCCAGTCTTCCTGATCAGCGCCTCTGGAATAAACCAATATCCAGCCTCTCTGAGTGTTGTGGCATTCTGTGAGAAGGTTTTAATGTTTTTTTTTAATGTTTTCTTTCTTCTTTTGTTTTTTCAAGGGCCCTGCGTAAAATAAGAGTCACCAGTGAAGCAGCAAAAATATATATATAAAAAGGGAAATTCATTAAAAATGCATTTCAGGAGCAAAGACTCACCTCAGAATATTTTTCTATTTAAATGGGAGGCGCTTCATTATATCTTTTATTGTACTTTCTTTTGCATTTACATTAGTCTAGTGTTCCTTTCAACCATTCTGAGTTTCATTAGTTTCTAAAGCTCGATAGTTAAGTGCCTTTTTGCAAATGTTCCCCACCACTGGTTTTGGCTCCATAACAATAGAATATCAATTTTGAATTTTGAAAAACTTTTAATGGCCAGATAATTGTCACTTTGTAGAGATTCCATTAAACTGAAGTGGATTTCCTGCTTCTTAACCAAGAGTGTGTGTTTTTTCTTCTTTTCTTTTTTTTTTTGTGGTAAAGTTTGTTTCAATGACTTTATTACAAAGACACTGATCAGCAGCTTCTATTTGTAATTAGCTAAATCAGAGGCACTAAAGGTGGCTTAGGGGTTATTTTCATGCACGGCCGAAGAGTCTATACAACAGCGCAAGCAGAAGTGAGCATAAGGAAGACAAACTATAAAAAAACAAAACAAAGGAGGCTTAGTTCACAAATATTCACGACATTAAGGAACAGTGTTATTGGATGTGTTCATAAAAGATGCCTTTCTAAGTCTGAAGAAATGCGTCAAACAAGGGGGAGAGGCCACACTTTTTTTAAAATCTCTCTCCCACTAACAGTGAACATGGGTGTAAAGGAAGGGCATAAAGTATTGCAGACAGCTTACCAGTGTGGCTTCGCTTGTGCACCATCAACACATTGGGGCCAATGCAAACTATCCCACAGATATCACACTTGAGCTTCCCGTTGGGCAGCCGGATACCACCGGCCGAGGAGAAGGCCTTGGCTTCGGGCCTCGGCTGTGAGCCGTTCACCTTGGCCCCCGAGGCATCGACCACGCGCAAGTCTTCCGCGCACTCCTCCTCCTCCTCCACGCCATTCATGTCACAGGCCAGCCCATTCTCCTCATCACTGCGAGCCTCAACTTTAATATTACAGGCTGGAAAAGAGGGCAAGGGTGGGGGGGGGCCACGGTTTAGAAGGAGAGCATGGTTCTGTCATCATGTCAATCTCTAACTTGGGCAATTTACCAGTGTGTTGTCGAAACTATGAGAAGAGAGAGACTGGTGTCTCCTACCGAATCTCCTACACTCCGTCTGCACTGAATGCATTTTATTTCTCACAGTGCATTAAGTCATTACAAATTTCATTGAAAGCTACTCCCAATCTAAACATTTTTTTAACCATTTTCTGTACCTTTTTGTTGATTTCAATCTTTTTTGACCATTTAATTAATTCTTCTCACAGTCTGTTGTCTGTTTAAGCGAGGCCTTGTCTATGTGGCCATAGAGTAGAGCTCTGAAGTTGCATCTATGAAACTCAATCGGCTATTCTAATTTGTCAAGATAAAATATGGTGAGGCTTCAGCTGGATGTATTTGCAGTGTTGTGGTAGCTCTGATCATTTCCTGTTTCTTCTGCTGGAATAGACCCAATGTGTAATAACAAAGTACACAAGAAGAGTCACAATGGCTTTGTGATGAAAAATGTCCTGAAGTGCACATTGTGACATTTCCATGTATTACAGGGCGATGCATCAACCTTTAAAAAAATTCTACTCCTATTTCTAGCAAATTTCATCAATGTGGCCCAAAAAACTCAAGAATCATCAGTTGGGATCAGATTGATTTTTTTCCTATTTTTTTTATTTCCTCTCTGTGCTTGGTTAAAAGCAGGTTAGAGTACTTCACGAGGGCGTGCAGGTGGATGGCAAAGCTTGCTGTTTTAGGATGTCAGCGATGAGATGAAGAAATACGCCAATCATCTCACACCATCACACTCTGGTGACACAAATGACAGCAAGATAAACAGGAAACAGAGACACAGGAAGCAGTGCGAAACTAGGGACGAGCGCGGTATCTATCAGAGCAACAGAGTGCGATGAGCAAAGACAAACATGCAGAGTCCCAGATGGCCTTTTCACAATCTTGCTCATTTTCAAGAGACTTAATCTAATTTTTGACATTTCCAGCATTTCAAGCTCAGAGGGAAAATGTTGCGTGAGAGCCGAAAGCCTGCTATTATTTGCGGTACTAAAACAGAATTTATAAAAACAGAAACTGTAATCTCTTTTTGATGCGTGGTGTTCCCACTATGATCAGAAAACAAACAGCACGGTGCAATTGACTGAGAACTGACAAACAGCACACGTCCCATGGCTACCAACCTGTGGTTTGCATGTCTCAGTGGCAACCTTATTTCCCCATGCCTTTACCTCTGTTTGTACAACTGAAGAGGAAGAAGTGGAAATCATGAAATATAGGAATCTATGGAAAAGGGGAAGCTTCAGAAAGAGGGCCTGTCTAACTGAAATACCAAGAATTATGGAGAAGTGACAGAAAGGGAAGCACGGGAAAGGAATTGTAAAACAGTATGTAACTGAAAAAGTCTCTTTTTCTTTTTTCTTTAGTCACAGAAAGCCACTGAGGGAGCCAAAATGTTTGCCATAAAAGGTGAAATACAAAGGATCACGGGTGAATTTTTGCGAATGTCAGTGAGTCATCCGTCTGTCACTTAGTGAGCCAATGTAGCTGCTTTATCTGTGATATCTGGCTAATGTTGCCCAAACATGAAGCCATCACCTTTAGCTCACTATGTTTATTTCCTTTTTTCTATGTTGGCAAAATAGCTACTTATTTATTACTATTTCAACACTATTCAAAACTTGTAGCTCCCTAATTTGTATGCCATTTAACCTATTTTTTTATTAGTTTATCCTAGTCACAGCTATATTCCTTCCACTTTAACTCTGAGCATTTTATTAGCTTTACTTAGTACTTAGATATCACTTAGTTTGTTTAGTATGACCAAATTATACTAGTATGATACATTTTAAAATAGAGGATTTTGAAGTGACTAATTTTTTTTCTTTATGGTTGTAGGTAAGCTACAGCATAGTTGCCAAATTAGTTGGTTTGCAGTTACTGCTGATTCAGAGATAATCTCTGGGCATCTTCAGCTCTGTTTGTGATAGATACTTAGATACAGAGGGTCCTTCCTGCCAGCAGCAATAACCTTTTTCATTCAAAGCTTATAAAGATTGCAGGGTAATAGAATAACGGGAACATTTAAAGGAATCTTAGTGATCTAACTAAGGTGTAACTAAATTCAAACACTTAAGATGTTTATTCAAAGGAATGTGAGAGTGTGAAAAAAACACTTTAACATTGATGATTAGGCAATCATCTGATGTCCTTTAACGTAACTGCCAGGCTGTTGGGTTATCAGCTGGCTGGTGTAGACAGAAGGGAAGAGTGAGCGTTGGACTGCGACCCGAGTCTCCTGGATATGGGGAAGTTGTGACTAAACTAGGACTAGGAAGAAGGCTTTTAGTTTTTAATTGTGTTTGCCGTGTTCACACATCCTGATTTGTTCATTTTGGGAAGCAAGTGTCGGATCACATAACAGGCAGACAAACACAGTCTCAATAAAATGTCATAACCTAATGAATATGTGGGTCTAACCCCTCAGATGACAGAAAAAGGGATGACCCATGCTGCTGCTGCTGAGAGAAATGCAACCAAAAAAAGAGACAAAGAAATGAAAAAAGTGTGGGCATTCACCAGGCGTAAAGAGATTAGATGAATGTAGGTGCACTGAGAGGGATGAACAGTAGCTGGGAGCAGACTCTAACCCTAAGCCAACATGTCAAATGTGCTAGTTCTGCTGTGTGGAGACGCAGGGTGCCTGCTGGAAGTTCCTGTTACTGTTTTATTCTGCTCTCACAGCCTGAAATAACCTAGTGTGCAAGGTAGTGGAACCACATGTGTCAAACCGCGCCAACAACACATTCAGCCCAACTTGCAGGAACACTAAATACAGCCTACTTTTCCCCTCACGCAGAGCAAAAAAGCCATGTTTTCGGGAACTTGACAGCTCAGTCTCCTTCTCAGTCTCATGTCTCTGAAATAGCAAAGGCTCTATTTGACTCACTGAAAGTGAAAGAGAAATCATTTGACTGGGAAGGTCATCTTACAGCCTTGTGACTTTAACCGAGCATGTCTCCTATTTTTCCCTGTGAGGCGTGCAGCGCGATGGAGTTCAGCTCCTCCACAGGTTTCAATTCACTGGGACAACGAGGCAGTTTTTATCTCTCTTTTCTGTTTGCATTCGTCTTCGTGTCGAGTGCAGCACTGTGAACGTGCACCGATGGTAAGGATTACTTGCAACAGGAAACAACCAAGATTCTGAGGTTTCAAGCCTCTGATACTTTGAGGTCCCGTGTCCCACATTGGTCCCCGAGTTATTTTTCCTTTTTTTTTTTTCACTGTTGAGCACCGAGCACATGATCCTCGGCGGTAAATATAACTCTCACTAGCTTTTATCACAGAGGCAGCCAAGCTCAGATGCAGCCGATACTTACACTTCCCTTCTTTTCCTCTGTCCCTGCACAGAATGTGTGGAGGAAATTAACTGAAACTCACAAATCACACCAGCTGTGCCCTCTTTACACTTTTCATACGTGGTGACTAAAAGTCGAGCGTTTTAGTAGTAATCCGCTAAACAGACTGTTTTGCCACTTTCTTTCTTTTTTTTCCTATGGACTGATTATGTAAGTACTTGTACAAAACAAGACGCTGCAGACACTTCCCTACATGACCGAACATATTTTAAAGGTGCATATGCCGTTGAGCCTTTTGTTCACAAGCATTAAGATATTCCTTCCTGTGTTAAGTTCCCTTCCTGCCATCTCAGCAACAGTAAAAGTCAAAGAGAGAGAGCCTCTGTGAGTTAGCATCAGTGTGTGTGTGTGTGTGTGTGTGTGTGTGTGTGTGCGTGTGTGCAGGTGCGTGACCTATGTGGTGTAGTGATGCGCAGATCTCGCTGAGCTTGGCCCTGTTCCTGAGCTCTTTATCTCCAGGAGTGTTGAAACTGCGATGGCAAGTTCTTCTTAGGAAACTCTTACACATCCTATTTCAGTTTCCTCTCGCATCTTATTTTTGACTCTGCGCTGCTAATCTTTGCCGTTATCTACCCCGATAACCCCGATGGGATGGTCACAATTAAGCCGTCTGGCTGTTTTTTGGGGTTATTTTGTTTTTTCGGGTTTGTTTTTCTTCTGCCGGTCACAATGAACGCAATATTTCTGCATCTTAACTGGAAAAGTTCCCTCGGTGCCAAGGCATTTTTAAGCTACAAAATATTTAAATGTTTTTTATCTTCCCCTGTTAGCAGAAAAGGCCTAAATGACCGATAAATGCTTCCTGCTCCTTTTCAAACCACCCATGTTAGAGGAGTTGAAATGAAGAAAATATGCCCTTCATGTGAGTCACCCGAGCTTTCTTCATCCTTATTTTCATCATATTCCCTGGCTTGCTGTTCGCAAACTCAAATCAAGGCCACATTAGCTATTCCTTAAGATTTCTTAATGACATGAAATGGATCAAAGTCTTTTTTTTTTTTTTTTACCTATCTTGCCAATGACCTAAATGTGTCTCTGTGTAGCTTTAAAATAAGTTTTCCCAGAGATTTGGAACAGCAAATATCCCCCACTGGATGTGCATGAGATTAAGTCATAAAAAACATTTTGGGTGTATATATATATGTCACGCTTTTGATCCTGACATTTTCATCTAACCGTTTTACTCTGATTTGGGGATGCTTTGGGAATGAATACATTACAGCCCGGGGAAGGCCCAGCACCAGCCGAGGGTTTAGGCCCCTTCTGTTGGCCTCTCCATTGGATGAACTCTGTTTAATGTAGCGAGGCAACGCTCTCATTGCATTTGCTTGTAACTGAAGCGAGCGCCCGCCATCGTCTGCCTGGCGTCTGTTGAGAAATCTGCCTCGTACCTTTGTCGCCCCGGTTGTTCTGCTGGTGGCCGGAGCTGGCTGACAGGTCCTCGGGGACTGCCATGGGCTCCTCTGCCTCCTCCGATGCTTCGTTGGCAGGGGGGCTGTCCCTGGCTGGGGAGAGACACAAAAAAAAAAAAAAAAAACCCTGTCAGTCAGCGCACAACCCCCTCGACGCGGCTCATTCAAGAGAAGCTAAATTGCCTCCGCCGGGGCGTGGGTCTGTTTTCGAGGGGCCTATTGTATCTACTTTGTGCACTCTGCAGCTCATCATGCGGTAGGTGGGCTTTTACCTGGCATCTGGGCCATTTCCTGGGCCTCCTCCGTCTCCATGCGGTGCAAGTACTCTAATGGGGGGAGAGATGGAGATGGAGATGCGCATAAGTTTAATCAAGTGCAGGCAGAGGAAACAGCATTATAAAAAGACCGAGTGGAGTAAAGGGTGTACTTCTCGGCGCGACTCCATCACCTCAATGAGATAACTCTTGTCACACCACTGTCCCCCCGCATTACATTACAAAGAATTACAGACATTTTCATTACGAGTCTGACAGAGAGGCCGAGCTGGGAGAGGGCCCCGGCTGACGGGGCCCGCGTTTCGCGAGCGCGGCTGCCGGGAATGGGCTTTCAGACCACATTTGTTATTTATTGTTAATTTCCTGCCACGTAATCATCCAAAAATGCAAACTGACTGCCGCAAAATTAAGCAGAAAATTAACTGGCCCCGGGGTCAGCGGGGATGCGGGCGCCCGCCGCGCCCCAACTGATCCACGCTCGTGTTCTCTCTAATTTACTGAGCATGCCTCGCTGAACCCAGAGCCTGAGCACACACACACTCACGCACACACACACACACACACAGAATCACATACATGTGAGCCACCACCAGAAACAAAGGACGAGAAAGGAGGAGCAGAGAAAGGAGGAGCAGAGAAAGGAGGAGCAGAGAAAGTCAGCGAGACACTGAGGCGGCGAGAAGCCAGACGTCAGCGGAGCTGACGGAACAGGAAGGTGAACGAAAAGAAAAGAGGCAGAAAAAGCAGGCCGGGGGGACCGAGAAAGTTCTCTTTATTTATTTATCTTTTTCACAAGATGAGGGGCCGCGCGGTCCAGAAACGATCCTCTGGCCAGGGCTGAATATCTGAGGAGTCACCAGTGCTCGTGGCCCCATTAATAATGGATGGCCCCTCCATCCTGCAGCAGATGGGCCCGACAGTCTCAGCCCCAGCTCCGCCACTTCAAGAAGCCCACGGTGGGGCCGCTGCCCAGTCCAAGCAGCCACACGGGGAGAAGTGAAGCTCCCGAAAATAGCGAAACAAGCCCAAGGGAGAAGGGGAACCTAGGCCTTCCTGTTTTGCTGACAGATGGCTCCACACATTTGGAACAAATAGTGGGAAGCAGCCCGGCCGCTCTGTCGCAACGCAAAGCCTTCTGCGGAGTCGAGTCAGGAGCTCAGACGCCCAGGATGCAAGTGTGGGGCCAGGGGGGGGGGAAGAGGGAGGGGGGGGCAAAGGTCAGCGGTGCAGATGACTCGTTCGGCACAGCAGAGAGTCGGGTGTGACTCGGCAGCTCTGTTCGGTTCGGAGGTCGGGGGCAGAGGGAGGTATATTCTCATGTGGCGTATTTGGAAGTTGGGGTGGGGGGGGGGGGGGGGGGGCACATGGCGCGAGGGGAATCACGGATGTGTCGGTGGCTGGGGGTGGGGGGTTCGAAAAGATTTCCTACATTCAGCCGCAACCTACTTGCGTAGGCATGTGGAAAGCGAGGTGAACGTAGAATATTCAGGAAGTAGCTTTTCAGTTCAAGCAAAAAAAAAAAAGTGGTACTATTTAAAACAAAACAAAAAATCTGTCTCTTTTTTTTCTGTTTCAGCTTCAGGCCAACCTCGCCCATCCTGAAACACGGCGCGACAGCGAAAAAAAACGGGAATCTTCCTTTCAGTACTTTCTAATACACTTTTGAATAATGTCAGAGATAGCGCCATGTGGAAATTCTCCCTCAGCCTGCCAGCCACGGCTGCTTCGACCATAAATGACAAACTGAAATTAGCGTGTAAAGGCGCGTTGGCGCGTTACTGTGCATGAATTGACAAAGTAAAGAGGGGGCAGGTGGAACTTTTCACTCGCCTGGGTGGAAGTCAAAGAGAAGACTTCTGACACACAGCGGTGGGGTGCTGGAACAGTTTTGGTCAGAGTATGTCAAACGGGGAGATGCAGGAAGAGGCTTGTGGGTTGACAGAATTTTCGGTCCTTCTGCTGTGTACGTGTGCGTGTGTGTGTGTGTGTGTGTGTGTGTGTGTGTGTGTGTGTGTGTGTG